GTGTTCCTGCATCTGCATGTTTGCATCATTGCTTGAGGTTATGCACATGAATTAATTTATGTCTTTTACCACACATCATCAACAGTACACACTCTGTGATCTAACCTTTTGCAGAGGGCAACACCAACAAGCATGCCAAGCCTGAGTCGTAATGGAACAATCCTACTGGAGCTGAAGAGGCGCTATGTATCACAGCGCCTCAATGAGCTCCAAATCACATTAGGCCAGATCACACAGTGCCAGCAGCACGACAGCAAGTCAAAACACGCGACAAGAGGCCGTGCGCAGACAGACAGCAGCACCACTCAGCAGGAGCAGAGGGAGTATTATCCTGGCGTAGATGGCTGCAGTCTTCCTCACGGCCAGCGGCAGGACAGTATTCCAGCCAGCCAAAGTCACAGCCAACAAACCGTAGAGAACAGAGTTCTTGGTAACTATAAACTAGAGAGTCATATTTCTGATCAGCAGAGGAGTGGCTCTGTCCAGTGCAACAACCCTGAAACATTACTGGAGTGCCAGATACTAGAGAGCCATGGTCGGCTGCATCTTAATGTCCCAGGAAAACAAGAGCTGAACAGTCAGATCACGATAGAAAATACAAGTGGACATACGGATATCGATGACATGTAGCTGACTACTAATCAGAAACAGCATCTGAATATGGATAAATGCTAGAAAAGGTGTTGTTTATTTGGTTCTTTCATTATTCCTCAGTCTGTTGCCTTTTTGTGCTCTTTCATGTTTGGCCTAGAATAGCTAGTTTTTCTGTGTACACTATAATATTCTGTCTTTTTTGTTAGAGAATGATCCGAGTGACCTCTGTTTTGATTTGCACCAGCTTTAGAACTATTCAGCTGTGTTCTTATCTGTGATCCCGGACTGAAATAATTTCTGGCAACAAGCAGAGGCGTGACACATTCTGTCATCTTGTCCAAATAGTTTCTCAGTCAGGAGTTAACACCAGCCTCAAAGACAGGCTCTGTTCATTACCATATTCTAATTAAGACAATAAACCTCAGCTGAAGGAACACAAGGTGACACTTGTGCCTCTGTGTTGCTTCTTGCTCACTACAACCTCCGCCTCTTGTAGAGGTGATGACCCACGTCTTCATGAATATTTAATATTAAACTACAATAATTCTCTCCCCCTTTTCTCTGTCAGGCAGATGTGCAGGCCCTCTAACCTTTCTTCTCTAAGCCTTTTCATTTAGTGAGATTTCTCTACAACCAACAGCCTAACCAAGTGAAACTAAAAGTAGCTACAAAACTTGAAAGACTGTTGGATCTGCTCCAGATGAGAAGTCTATGCTGCACAACTGCTGCCTTCTTCTGGTTCGATGGTTTATCTGACGCACAGGGTTCTGGTTCTTATAATAGAAAGTGAGTATTCCTACAGGGGGCTGTGAGCCAAATCAGAAGGTCAGATGGAACAAGTCTTCACTTACTATCAGTGTTAGCTTAGAGGTCTGTGCCAAGTCTCCTGGGCTGAATCTGGCATTGCCCTGTAGGTGTGTGTGTGTGTGTGTGTGTGTGTGTGGGTGTGGGTGTGTGTGTGTGTGTGTGTGTGTGTGTGGGTGTGGGTGTGTGTGTGTGTGTGTGTGTGTGTGTGGGTGTGGGTGTGTGTGTGTGTGTGTGTGTGTGTGTGGGTGTGGGTGTGTGTGTGTGTGTGTGTGTGTGTGTGGGTGTGGGTGTGTGTGTGTGTGTGTGTGTGTGTGTGGGTGTGGGTGTGTGTGTGTGTGTGTGTGTGTGTGTGGGTGTGGGTGTGTGTGTGTGTGTGTGTGTGTGTGTGTATGAGGGGAGGGGTTCAGTGGCTTCCTGAGATTATATGCCTTATCAATTAGATTAGCTGCGATGTGCCACTGATCTGGCCTTTGTGTGTGTGTGCCCTCAGAGTGGAACATGGCAACATATAACTTCATACTGAGCTACTGTGAAGGCACATGTGTGTGAATGTTTGTGTAGTGATTTGCAGTTGTACAACATTATGCTTGCTCTAGTTGTTTACATCGACACATGGGTTATTTTTAGGAGGACTGTGTATGTGATGTTTGTGTGATAGTATGTGTGTGTGTGTATATATATATATATATGGCTTGTGTAGAATATATTTCTGAACTGTGGCACATGTCTTGTTATGTTTTGTGTGGGCAATTTATATGTTTTGTAATTCCACGGTAAATTTCAAAGTACATCGGGACAGATGTGTGCAGGACGTACAGATACAATCAACCTACAGATGGATCAAGAGTTAATATAGATGGTAGAGTAAAATCCTGCTTACACTGTCCAAATGGTTGCATTAAGTGGTTTTACGAGCAAGCTGCACATGAGCTTTACATCTCAATTTCCAGCATGTTTCATCCATGGCTGTCTGCTGTAATCATGTTATAATCTTGAAATCCTTCCAAATCCCTAGAAATCTACTCTCTGCTGTACATCCTCAAGGGCCCCTGCACACACACGCACGCGCACACACACACATATTAACATACATGAACAAATACATGATCTCTCTAACTCACTTATTTATACAGTCAGTCATTTCATTTACTCATTTCCTAACATACAGGCCTGGTTTAAGCTGCATTTTGACTCAAATTCACCATAGATAATTGTCCCCATGCTCTGTTTTAAACTTGACACAGTCTTTTGGTTGAATTTACCCTCATATATTAAAAATGTGTTGTAGTCATTACATGTGTGCAAACCCTCTGGTTGAAGCCCTTGAACCTTAGAACGCAGAGCAACACTTGAAGTGTGAAAAGACATCCTTTATTTGCCTCCTTTCTTTGACTTATTTTCTACAAAAACCAAAGCATTTCAAACACACTGACTACCTGTGAAAATAGAGAGCTGCGCTTGAGGCTTCCTGTTGTCTTCCCGAGTCTGCGGGCTGTCACTAAGCAGACCTCCTGTAGTCACCATGGCACTGCATTACTGTTGCTATGGTTTCCTTATCTCCAGGATGTGGTTCAACCAGGCCTGCCATATTTAGTCTGCTTCTCAGAGTGCCAGCCTACTGCTGATGCTGACAGCAACACAAGAGTGCACTTAGCTGTCCCTTTGCTTTTTTCTACATTAAAATGCATCAGTAACTCTAAACACTACTGCACACACCTGTTGATACACTCAGTTTTCAACATTTTACAGCTCTAACGCAGTGTATCCTAAAGCCATACTCATTTGATGTTGACAGTTTTTTAAAATCCTTTTTGACATGTAAATTTAAAAGAAAATAATAATGGTGAAATTATCAAACCCTTGATTCCCACGGGAGTAATCCTCTTATTGCTCCAGATACAACAGCTGCAAGATCAGATGTTGTGATGTCATGACACAGATTATTGTGGCTCTTTACGGCCTGAGGATGTTGTATCACAGGTTCATCTTAGTCTATTTTTTCGTTCAGGGTTCACATAACATCAAACACCACAGTAATTTTGATTACTGTGAAACATTTGGAAATGAGAAAAAAACTTTTAAGATGAATGAAACTATTTAGTTTGTGACATGCAGACCGAAACATAGAAACAGTATCTCTCTTGTTTAGAATCTCTATATATAATTATGATAATACTGATTGAAACATTAGCGATGATGACTTTATACTCATAATGTTATGAAAATCAATTCAAGGATTTATATTTTCTACAAATCAAACAGATTAAGCTGAAATATTTCAGCATATAATTAGTAATATGTAAAAATGTTTTGTTCGTGAAGAGGCACAGCATTTTCCCAACCATTTTCATACAGAAGGCAACACGCAGAGATTAGAACAGGTAATAGGTTTCCCAGAAGAAAGCACATTGTAGACTTGTCAATGTAAGTCTATTAATATTCATATGGGACGCACTGTAGGTCTATAGAACAGAAAAAGCAGGGGGAAAAAAGCAAAACATACCATGTGGATTCAGTCCTCATCACATCTTTCACATCCTCCACAAAAGAGTGAAATCATTGCCCTTTTCAGTGAGAGAAAAAAATCTAATATACAGTAATTACACTGTTTAGCAGGCACTTCAGTCCTCTTTGACGCAGCTTGTGTTGGTGTGATAGACAGGGATGAGGTTTCAGTTTTTTCCCGGCTGAAACGGTGAATCATTTTAACTGAATTGAAATACTTCTTTACCCTTTGTATTTAGCATTAACTGTTTGAATAATTAAAGAAACAGGAATGAAAGGAAAGAAAAAGGGTTAACAGTTGTTACTGGAGCACAGTCATGCAGCATGGAAGAGTTTGTGCCCAAATATAGACAGAATATCACAGAAAAGGTCAGGCCCTTTTAACGCTAAACTCCGGAGAAATGGAAGATCATTAGATTAGTGGACTGTGTCCTTCACAGTATTTTATCATCTTCATTGCTGCAGTAAATATGTGTATGTCATTTGCTTTGAAATGATTTTAAAAAATACAGCTTCAGGCTATGAGTCCTTGCTTGTGTAGCACTATTGTATGCTTATATGTCTGCATACATGTATATATGCATTAGTATTATGTACATTATGTACACTTTCTAAACCTGCATGTCTCTGTTCCTGTTCCTACTGTTGACTGAAAGACTTCAGCTGAACCACTCAGCACTGAGCCTATGTTTGTTTTTGGACTAAGAGGACACTGCAAAGACTTTGGAAGTAGGAACAACGCAAAGTACTGATGTGTAACAAATGAACTGTCAAGAGGAAGAGCTCTGCTAGCAGCTGCTGAACTAGGTTATGTAACACGTGACAAAGACAGTTTTGCCTCGTTATTCTTTGTTAATACAATAAGCTTTAATAAAACTGATTTGCATTAGGTTTATATATGTGCATGTGAGGTGAGGACATGTGTTTTGTTTGTTTAACTCATCAGCCTTGCAGTCACAAGAAAAGCATACGCAAACAGACTGGCATGATGAGTTGGTCAGGCCTACCCAAATGACAGTAATATGGTCGTGCACATTGTAGTGTTGAAGGGGAGTGACCCACGCATGCGTATCAAAGCCTCTGCTTCTGCCAGCGCTAAGTGACTGCTGAAAAACAAAGACAGGGAACCGCGGCTGGGAAATGTCATCAGTCATCCTTAATGGAGGAAATGGACTTCAGACAATCAATACTGTTATTCTTTGAGGGGTGAAACAGGAGGGTTTTATCACTGTTTTTGCTCTTTGTGTGTGAACAAGGCTCCAGATCTCGCAGCAGTAAGTGACCAAATCGGCTTTTGAGAATCCACAGGTTCCCTCGCTTTTTCTTTTTTTTCTTTTTTTAACCCCACTCCCCTCTTTCTTCCGTGTTTCTGGATGCATCTGGACTGAATGACAAGCATTTGTGGGCGAAGGAGCTGTTGCATCACCCACAGTAGCTGTCACACATCACGGACTTGTTTATCTCACCGAGTGGAGGGACTAATGAAGTTAGTTCTTTGTAGATAGATGATGTAGTGCGAGGCAGGGGTTGGTGGAAGGCATCAGCTGAGCACGTAAACATTTCACAGCGTCGATTCTACAACTCCTTTATACCTTTAGTTTGAAATCTTGCCTTTGAGCAGACAGTTAGGTTTGGGATTTTCACTCGTCAGGAGGGAAGTTACCTGCGCGCTCATCTGCCGAGGAGAGGCGCTGTCCGTGGTTCTGAAGTCATTTCAACTACTCCTGTTATCTCACTCCTGGACTCCTGGACTCCTGGACTCCTGTGACACTTCAGGGCTTCTCCAAAAAAGCAGCAGTTACAGGGACACTGTCCACCAGAAGCTGCAGGAAAAAAAAGCTTAATATGGTAACTCAAACCAGAGTTCACCTGCACACTTTGGTACTTTTGAGTTTTCTCGGTAAGTATAACTGTGCAAGATGTTAAAGATAGTTTGTTTATGCCAGCATGTCTTATTCGTGTGCTACATATAGAGGTACAGATGAGTTAATCATGGGCCTCCTTAATGGATTGTGAATCCAACTGGCTGTGAACTCAAAGCCCAGTTTCAGAGCAGTCTCACTGACGTCTGCAGAGTGCAACACCTCTCAGTGGTGTCAGCATTTAAGCGAAATCCATTAAAAAACCAGAGGACACCAGGGTTAAGGTTTTTCCCTTTTTCTTTTCCCTTTCTGTAGTTTCCTCCTTGACTCTCTGTCTCCCTCTTTCTCTGCCCTCTTTTCATGTGTTTGTATGAGCCCTCAGTAAAAAAACAAAACAAAGATGAGATGGAATCAATGTTGTCACTGTCTGCCCAGGGGGACTTTGGGTTATATAAGAGCACTGGCAACAGTCACACAAAGACATCCATGTGGTGAGCTCACAGAGATTACTGCCCCACTTCACTTTAAAAGAAATCCGTCTTTGTGTTTAAAACCCCCCACCCCCCTTCTCAATGCATTTACAGTACATCTCAATCAGTTACTCCCCTTCTTCCTGCTTGCCCACAATACTTTGCTGTCCTCCTCCTACACTACCTACAGTTCCTCCATCAAACACTAACCCTCTCCATTTATTCCTCCCCCTGCCAGCTGATACTAATGGGCAGAGGCCATCATTAGTGTTTACTGGCCTGGATGATCTTGGATTAGCTATCAGTATTGTGACTCAAGACTCTCCAGTGCTCACACAGCTGTATAATTGAATTTGTCTTTTTAATGTGTTTTGCGTCTGGCTCAACGTTGTATATGGTGCACAGAGTGCAAGAGCCGATGACCTCAGCAAAAAAGACTGGGCCAGTTTATTACTACATGTAAAGACTGTGTCTATCACAGTAGTGTTGCATTCTCACAGCCATTGACTAAAGACTGAAAATGGTGTCAGTGTCCCTGTGGGTTGAGGGTTACACACCAAAAAGGATGTAATGATTGCGTAGAATTTGAATCTCACACTGAAATGCTCCTGATGACGAGTATTGAAGAGCCCTCTCAAAAAATAAAAATAAAAAAAAAAATCCTTTCCCAAATGCCAGTTTTTTAAGTTTCCACATCACACTTGTGTGAGTTACATACTGGACCATGATTGACTTCCAAACTAGTTATGATGTCACAAATCATCAAAGGAAATATTTGTTTAAAGTTTTGCTATTGCTACATAGCCAACGTTAACATTAAGAGCTGTTTGCTTACCAGCCTAGAAGAAACATTGCGAGTTCAGCATCAAACTTCATTCCTTTACTCGCCCAGAGCTGTCTCAAGAGGTGGAAAGCAACACCATGTTAACTCTTGTCTCCATCATGTCTTCTACTGAAGTTAGCACACTAAAAAGCTAGCCCCAGCCTGTCGTGTAAACACAACAATGGCTGAAGCTCCTGTCAAGTGACAGTTGCCACTACCCACTCCCAACAAGAGAACATGTTAGGCGACAGAAGAAACTTACAAATAGCTACTTTAAATACTTACCCATCTTCAACTGAGGCTGAAGGGAAGCCCAGATTAACTTCAGCAGATTGATGTGAAAAGAGCCTTCTAGTTCTGCACATACCTCATTTAGCACAGTGAAGGTCAAACATCCAAGTGAGGGAACAATAAGCAAAACTAATTTCTGGAGTGAATGTGGACTTTGAACTTGAACATTTTGGCTCAGCTTTCATCGGGTTAGCTACTGAACTAAATGTGTGTAACATTTCCATGCTCCTCCAGTCCACCTGAGCCAGCCAGTATGTGTCGATCTCCCATCTGGGACAGAGGCAGTCCTGGGGAGACCCATGACGTTGACCTGCATCTCCTGTATGAAGAGAGAGGAAGTCAAAGCAAAGACACGTGTGGATTGGTACTACATGATAAAAAATGATACAAAAGTCCCAGCAACTCATGTAGGTTGTTCTGACATTATTGTATATGATATAACATATATGCGTGTTCATACTAGCATATACTGTGTATATAATTTATGCATGCTTGCTTGCTTTTCCTAGATGTTGAAGTATGAAAATGACGAAAAAGTGATATCGGATGGACCATTTAAGGGCCGTCTGAAGTGGAAAGGGAGCCAGGACTTGCAAGATATCTCCATTGAAATCCTTAACATCACCTATAACGACAGTGGCTTCTATGTTTGCCACGTGCAACGCGAGTTTGACTTTAACTTCTTCACTCACTCTGTCAACATCGAGAAGAACATCACGCTGAAGGTGAACGAGAAAGGTGCGGCTGATTATTTCCATGTTATTCCACCCTGTTCCGGTTTGGCCAAATTCTTGGTTTCCATATCAGTAAACCTCAGTCACTGTGATGATATAAATCAGTTTAGCAGGGATCTCCCAGAGCCACACACAAGGTTATTCAGGCCTCAGACTTGTGTTTGCTGCAAAGGCAGTGGCATGCCTCTGTGAAGTTACCAAAAATAGACCAGACCAGTCCCAAGAGGTCCATAACTCAAATCTGACACTAAAGCCAACTTTTGAAAGCTGTTTTGGCAATTGACATAATCCATTACATAACAAAGTCATTTCATTTAAACACTGTAAAAATTAAAAATGGAAGAAATGTTTCTACAGCCCCAGAGCACATCCATAATTCATATTTGCCCTTAATATAAATATGAACTCTTTTAAAGCCAGTAGTGTCTCAACAGGAGTGGTTGAACTGTAAAGTATTTACCCAGCATTAGTCTGTACAATCCCCTTTACAATATCAGCAGAACTGATCAATATAATTAATCATCTGTATGACTGTAACAGCTATCAGAATGATCATTCCACTGCAGCACTGCCCAGTTTAACACAGAGTGGCCCAGTTATAGTATTGAATATGGTGATGACGATGATACAGCTGCACACAGTATGCTGGAGAGGTTCAGCACAGATGTGTTAATTTAGCATCCCATATCCCCGGTAGAAACACTGGTCTGTGCGCTGTGTTGACTTCTGTGTCCCCAGTGTTCTCTTCGTGCTGTACATGCCCCTCCTTTGATGTTGCATTAAGTGTTTATCCAAGCGCTTTAAGTGGGTTTTGCATTTTATTATATATTTCCAACTTGCTGTTTTCACAAAGTGTGACGGCAGTCTGCCACTAACAACATCACTTTCCTTCTTTCCCCCTTTTTTTTTGTGACTGTAATGAAGAGGAATAATTGTGTGTTTTGTTTTGTCTGCCTTTATTGTCCATCAAAGCTTTCTTCTGTTGTCAGTGAAGGGGTTAATTCAAACCAACCACTTTGCTATCTCTTATAAGGGGTAATGTATTCTGCTTCCTGAATGCTTGGCTTGCTGAATGTATCATTTTCCACCTTGAACGAATATACAACACAACATGTATATTTGGAACAACATTTCTTTAACTTAACATTATCTATATCTGCTTGCACGTGGTATGTAGTTCACTGTCAGAGGCATATAAAGACAGGCTTGTTATATCACAAGGTTTGGCTTGTATTTGGAAAAAGAGAAGTGCCAGTTTGGATGTGTTTATCCTCCAAAGTGCAATTTTATAAAATATACTACTCCTATGATTTTTTTTTTTTTTTTTAAACATACCTAAAAGCCTCTACTACACATGTCATACAACAGTTGTATCAAATTTCACAAAGCCTACAGCCAGTGTACTTTACATTATAGCTAGGGAATCATGTTACGGTAATGATGTCCATACTAGCGGAATAGATTTGCTCACAACAAACGTATCTGTGCTTTCCCATCTAGGGGATTATATTACACTAACAGGCTCTATTTGCAGAGGCTGCCGAATCAAATCAGTGAAAGCTGTCAACTGTCTGGTCAGCAGGCTCTCTGGAATTTGGTACACACTCACTCGCACGGTGGTTCACAGTGGCTCATAATGATCCTGGAATGACAGATAGTAAAGGACTGTTCAAATTTTCGCAAGTCTGTTTTCAAACAGCTGTAACCATTTCTCCTGTTCATACTGCTCACTAAGAGGTTCCCATCCCAATGCATTTCCAGAAAATCCACACTCCTCTGTCTGCGCAAAAATACATTCATTCTTTGTGTGAGATTCCCTGTTTCTGTTACTATTCTTCCTCTATAGCTCAGCAAGGAAACACGTCTGTGGAAACACAAAGAGGGACTTCTATACTAGAAAGGTTGCAACGATGGATGCAATTAATGTGATGAACTCAAACTTCAGATCGGTTTGGGATATATTTTTGCACAGAAGGAGGACTGTTTTTTGTTCTCCATCACTTATTTGGGAAACGTTTTGGGAAATGATCTTTAAATGAAAAGTATGAACAGAAGGAAGGATTAAAGTAAGAAACTCACCTTCAATGGGCATTGACTAGTATTGATTTAAGACAAACTTGAAAAAAGCTTCCGCTGTTGTACATAAAATCAAAATATGACCTACAATATGTAATGAGTTTAAAATCTGTGTCATGCTCTGAGAACCACTGTGACTTTGCATATCCATCTTATTTCGTATTTAAAGGTACCTTGTGGAGTTTTTTAACCACTAGTAGCACTATGAAGCAATGTTTTTATGAATGGTTCACCGAATGCTGTTGGCACACCAACAAACGTACAAATGCAGCAACAAAGGCAGTGAAGAACAAGGCTGCTCACAAGCAAAGATGGATGTAAAGAAAATATTTTTAGAAGTTGTCTCTGCAAATGTTTTATGAGGAATAAAATGAATCTGGCGTTTTCGTTAGATCTGAAAAAAAAAATACAATGCATTCTGGTTAGAAACACTGAATATAAACATAACTTTTGTTTGTTGACAAGGAACCTCCACAGGGCACCTTTAACTCCCTATAGGCTCTACTATCATTGTACCACAGGTATGGTCATAATGTTCTGTATGCAACATAGTTTGCACATCATCTTTAAAGTGTATCTACAAACAGGATGCTCACCAGAAAACATGACTTTGCTTGAAGTTTAGCTGCATAGTAATAACTATTGTACATATTGAGTTGGACTTGTCGTGCCGTAGAAATGTTGGCTTCTCTATTATGACTGAGTTGATTGTGGGTCAGCAATGTTGCACATACACGAACAAGCTTAGCATACTTTCTTGAATATGTGAATAAATAAGTGTCCCCTGCTCTATTCAACAAAAAAAGAAAACAAAAAAAAACAAACGGATGCATATTGAATAATACATTTTCCTCGCTGTTTGTGCTCCACAGCCAGTGACGACCCCACAGCGCTTTACTCTGAGATCATGATGTATGTGCTGCTGGTGTTCTTGACCTTCTGGCTGTTGGTAGAAATGGTCTACTGCTACAGGAAGATCTCCAAGTCTGATGAGCAGGCGCAGGACACAGCGTGAGTGTCACACGGATATAAATGTAACAAATGTACAAATGTGTGTTCCCAAAAAACAAACTTGTTTTCAGCACGTCCAGATAAATATCTTTACTAACTTGCTCTTCAATAGGACTCAAAAGAGAGAGGGTGTGTGCCAGATAACTGAAAGTGTTACCTGTGTATGTGAATTTCTGGTTATTGCATAATAGTAATTTCAAATCTCAAAAATGTGTCAGCAAAAGAGATTTAGGGAGGCAATCAAGAAGAGAGCAGGACAGAGAGGAGGAGAAAGAGTGAGGCAGGCAAACAGACAGACACACAGACAGGGAGGTAATTGAGTCTACACTGCGTCAGTTTGTAACCCCTCTGCAACAGTAATCTGTCTTTTCACTTCGACTGCCTGACAGGCCTGAATAATTCTTAGCACTGCTGACTGCTCTTTTTTCTAAACAAGCTTTTTACATCCGTGGTGGATTTGCAGCTCCATCAGAAACAGACATTTTGCGTCACCTTGTCAGTGCTGACAAAGACTCGAGAGCACCTGTACAGTCAGCTCCCACCGGATTGTCACAGTGTTGACAGTGCCACTCAATCCAGGTTGACAACTTTTGAACAGGCAATTTATGTCCCAAACAGAACAATCACAGATTAACACTCAGCACATGTGCGGATCGAGTTATTGTGGTTTTGCAGACAATTAATTCTGGTTCCAAATCTGAGTCCTGCAGTGACACATAAAGCCCAAGCACTGCACAAGGCATTTCTAACACTGTGTGTGTGTGTGCTCTTAGAACAGTAATTATACAGGGGGTGGTCACAATGCAACATAACACAGTAACCTTGAAATATTCTGCAGTACAATAGCAAGGTGTTTCTGTTTACCATGTTGTTTACCAGGGGAGCATTTTTTTTCCTACAAAGATTCCTGGAAATAACTCCATTTATTATTTGAAACTACATTGTCTATGTATGTTGAATCTTGCCTGGTTACTCTAGGTAACACCAACAACTTCTTGGAATTAATGACTTGGAAGTGTTTGAATTAAACACTATTATTATTAGTACCAAAGTTCTTTTCAGGAGACTTGTGGAAATAATTAGGAAATTGTGTGAAATCGTGCTGACATGCAAAATAAAGCATTACCGAACAAAATGACAAAAGTAAAATGCTGAATATTTATGTAAACAAAGCAATACAACGGCAGCATGCACTATAAACACTAGAGCTGAAATACTTAATTTATTCATCAACAGGAAATTAATATGCTACTATTTTGAAAATTAAATAATCATTTTTCAATCAAAACTACCAAACATCTGCTGGGTCCAGCTGTTCAGATATGAGTATTCACTGCTTTTCTTTGTAAATGTGATTGTTAACTGAATATTTTTAAGTCCATCATGGTTGATCAGCCAAAACAAGCAATCTGAAAATACCACCTTCGGCTTTGGAAAACTATTAGCATTTTCTAGACAAAACAATCAATCAAGGAAATAGTCAATAAATTAATTGATGTTTAATTGTTAATTGTTAGGTGCAGTCCTGAATAACATCCGAATCAACTAAAACTGAACAATATGAGATTGACAATGGTGGTGTTTGCAGAGCTTTTCTTCTAGATTGTATTTTTCTGTATATTACATGCATTGTCTGGTACACATATTCCCAGTAATATGTTAAATATTAGCCGTTTGGTGGATAAAGCATTATGAAAGCTCAGTAAGCAACACAAGATAGATAGATAGATACTTTATTTATCCCCTAGGGGAAATTTGTGTCCATTAGCCCATTGTTGATAATAATAATAATAATAATAACAGTTAATAATAAATAAACAATAATAGTTAGATTGGTCCACATCCTTGGGCTGAGGTTTTGTATAGCCTGATGGCAGTGGGAATAAAAAAAGAGCCAGCTCTGCCCCTTCCGGTACATGGCATCCATGTTCAGGGACCAGTCCAGTTTACTGTCCAGGTGCACACCTAGGTATTTATAAGTGTGCACCACCTCAATGTCCTTCCCTCAAATGTTGACTGGCTGAAGGGTGGGCCTAGACCTCAGAAAGTCCATGACCATCTCCTCGGTCTTGGAGGTGTTCAGAAGGAGGCAGTTCTTGTTGCTCCATTTCCCTGAAGGCCTTTGTCAGATCCCTGTACTCCTCGTCCTGCCCAGTCCTGATACACGCCACATATATTCCTAATGTTCCTGCATTTTATTGAATTTGGAAACTGAAGTCAAATCTATTGTGCCCTTTTTAGTTTCGGTCTATGACCACTGAGTGTAATGTACAGTGAGATGCAACATTTAGTGGCGCATTTAAGCGATGAGGCTGCTGATGACTAATGTGGTTTTTAAGTAGAAATCACATCACATTTGCCCTCAGCATTTAGGTAAAGTTTATTGATCCATGTGTAGATCAGGAGAGCACATTATGCTATGCATCAACTGATCGAATGTGTATAGCTCTGTGAACTTCATCGGTCCCTGCAGCTGAAAGAGTTAATGGGTTGTGGCCACCTCACAGCCATTATTGACCTGTTTGACACCACATCCCACAGTGAGAAGCTGCACCCACTCACGGAGGCTGTTTTCTGCTCGGCTTCTTAGCTACCTGCGCTTAATGGATATGCACCGCAGCTAGAACATTTTGAGGTTACATTTTGTGATGCATTAGTAGCTCAGATCATATTAGTCGTGTTACTGAGGGAAAAAATGAGTGCAGCAGCAAAAATGATAATCTGTCAGAGAACAGAGAAATTTGCTGACGGAGCCACACAACTCTTTTCACTATAACGATTTTTTGCTTCGTCTACAGAGTTTCTGTGCAGCTCTACTGAATTGAGTGCATATGTAGTGAAGGTATTGTAGTTTTTTAACACTGTGAAAGTTTGCTGTTGAATACTGCATAAGGGTGTGTCATGTCTTCCTGAACTAGCAAAAGAATGTGGTGTATGGTGATGGAGGAGGTAGAGGAGACCCTAAAACCAATTCTTAGACACTCCTCTGTTTTTCTACCAATCTGCCTGCAGGACAAACTACCTAGCCATTCCCTCTGAGCAGAAAGACAATCCAGCCGCTCCTGTTACCGAATAAAAGTGGTTTTCAGTGACACGGTATTTTACATGTGACTCTCTCAACCTGATCCCAACCAGTGAAACCATCCCCGTCTCTTTCAACTCATTGTTTGTACCTTTATTAGACATAACTGTGCAGCTATGAGCTATGAGTCCTGTTGCTTCAGCACCTTATGTGTCTATTGTTTGTTCTCTTCAAAAGGGGCTTTCATTCCTGCCGTTTTTAGTCCTCCATTTGTGCTCACACTCCATTCAGTATAAAATCGCTCTCTCTCTCTCTCTCTCTCTCTCTCTCCCTCTCTCTCTCTCTCTCACTATCAATCATTTGCTCTGAGAAATGTTAGAATGGATTTGATGCAGTGTAGACAGTGTTAAATTAAGTTTTCTAATTATACTCTATGTGAGATAAGCTTCATGTCTCATGTGAAAACTGGCATAATCTGAGAAGTATTAACAGTCAGTAAACACAGTCTCCTCTGGCACTGCATAGTGAAGGCAGTAAATTAGAGCAATTTCAAATGTATGGCATTTGCGTGTATATGAAGTAGGGCTCCTGAGTTATTAGAGTCCTAAAGGGCACAGCTGTTTATGTGAAAGAGATGATGTGGAATTTATATATTCTTTAATATTGCACATATGACACTAGTTATTTAGCATATAAATCTTTCCATGTTCAATAAGAGGGTACATGTTCCCTGCTCTTTCCAGGTATTGACCAATCACAATGGGGCTTCAGTGGCATGTGACAGAAACAGGCATAGATTCATCAACCTCATCTATGCCACTCTGAAGGTATCATTACTCCCAGGCAGCCATGGGAATCCTGCCAACTGACCTCCCCTGTGTATCGACTGTGTCTTGTGAAGAGCCAGTCAAAAATGTCCAAGCGCTCTGTTTTTCTTCTTCTGTTCTGCTCATCTTTTTTCCTTTTCTTCTTCCTTTTATGTCAGGCATCTGAAATCAAATGCTTTCACAAATACAGCAGGTTAAAGAATAAAAATGTCAGTGTCCTGCACTTATTATCAGATAAATACAGTACCAAGCCGTGCTTCAATTGGACCTGCCAGCGCATAGAGTTGCTAAACACTTCCTTTGTAGTTAGTGGTGCCTATGTGATTTATAACGTATAAAAACAGATCTATATAAACCTATGATCCATAGGTAAAGACCCTGTCCTGCCACTGTCAAGGCTGTTATACTGGCTCTGTAGTACTGTGTGTAGTTCATTTTGTTTTATTACAATTTTATAGGCCATGCTGACATTTTGGGTCACAGTTTTATTTGTACTTGCCAATATCTTTTCAATGTCTTTTTAAGGAAAATGGATTGCATAGCTTTTATACTGTATGGATGTGCATTTCTCCCTGTTTTTGCTGTATGCATTAGTGTAATGGAAATATATAAAACATACCGGCGATACCGTATCAAGTCACGCTATTTCTGCTAATATGAATTCATCTAGAGGTCTTTCCTATACTCTCCTGTGTAAATCTTTAATCCATGTTCAGCACTAACATCAAAGTACATGCAGTAGGTTAAGCCGTACTGCCTTACTGTTGCTGATGTTCTGCAGTAGCATTGCTATTGAGACTAAATGTGTGCCTATTTCTACAGTATAACATTGTAGAAATATATATGTTCTGTGATTCAATCATACCACGCTGTTCTTTGTCTATTACAGATCTGACATCTCCTGTGTGAGTGAGCTGCTTTTGAACTATTAAATACAGTGCATTCCAGAGTCCCTGTTTAAGCTCTTTTCATTCAAAAATTCTTACTTCAGTGTAATTGTGCAGATGCCTCTGAAATTGCACAATCAGTCCGCTTTTAGACTTTTACCAGGATGTTGAAAGGAAAGTGCAGTATTGACTCCCAGCAGCTTCTCTCTTATGTTCTCCTTATTATCTGTGACTGTGTTGGTGTTGAAATGAAAGGAGTCAGCTCTAAATCAACCACAATAAGCACCTCTGGTGTTTCCAGTTCTCATTAACACTGCAGAGTAGGGGCGAACAAAAAGGAGCTTCGATCTGGTTCTGCTTGATGTAAACTTTTAATTGTCAGTCTTCACAGAGCTGAGACACAGCACTGTAAAGCAGGGAGTTTTATCCAGAGGGAGCAGAGCAGGTCCAGATAAGCAAGGCCTGAAAGATTGTGGAACACAAAGACAGACAGCAAGAGGGGGGTACCGGTGGAGAGGATGTGAAAAAGACTGGCAGTTAGAGAGAGAAGTGATGTATGTTGCTCTTTTAGCTAGCCGTAACCCACAACAGTGACAGATATAGCAGCAGCTGTTGTTATAGCAACCCAGGCATGCCTGTAGCAAGGCGGGCCGCCTGGCAAAGATGTTACCATGCAATAGACACATTGAGATACTTTCATTTACGCTCAGCCATAAAAAATAAAAGTGTGAGTGTTTGTGATAAAGTGTTTTATTACTTGCTATGCACAAAATACAAAGAAGCCACCAGTCACCCAGCATGCTTTGCGCCAAGAAGAGTAGAAGAGGCAGCTCGGCTGACTATCCCGGAACAGAAGAAATGCATCCACAAGCCTACCAAGGTCAGGTTTACTGTCTGAATGGCAAATAGGTAATGTAACAAGTGCACCCTTTATCCAGCCATCCATCAAGTTCACATAAATTGGTTATTGATTGTGCAACACATCCCATAAACTCTGCAACAATATGGCATCATGGCTTTGAGATGCTTTGTGAAAGAGCAATTCTGAACCCTCCCCCTTCTTCACAAACCCCCCCCCCCCCCCCCCTTCTCTCTCTATTGTTACCATGTTCCTCCCTTAGGATAAAACCCAGTAATATGGCCCACATTCTACCAAAATACGTTTCAATTAAACCACTGGGCTCCAACTGCCTCGGTGCTCTGGTAAGCATTTTAAGTCACGTCACACCAAGAAAGTGGGCAAGCTGTTGAGTAGAAAAACACTCTTAATTTGGAGTTAATGTTCTTTGCTCGTAAATGCAAATAGCTAATCACATCCAGTGTCACGAGCGACAGAAAGGGATTTAGTAGCTCAATATCCCACTGACAAAGCGTTCCGCAAATGGAGCTTTGCTGTTTTTTCCTCTGTGTTGGCCCACAGTCGGGTAATTTGATTTTTATAGCGGTTGCTCAAGGATGACCACAAGAGTTACAGTTGTTTTTCATCATAAAATATGACCTCAAATCATTACTCATGTAATCTGCAGAATAAAAAACTTGTCTATCTATGAAGGGTCTTTGTCTCCCCCTAGTGTGAAGGATATTATGTCATCAAATGTTGACATGTACACTTGTCACAGACCATTTATGAATGTCAAGCTCTCTCTCTCTCTCTCTCTCTCGCTGTCTTGAGCAACCTAAAAAAAACACTGTAGTTCTAATCGGTTGGTCCCTTCCTGATTTCAAAGTTGCTGATGACAGCATTATTTCATAATAATTTCAGTTATGAACGTTAGTGATTTATTGATCCTATCTGTTTGGAAGGCAGGTTGATCCGAAATGGTTGGCTGTGGCCTGAGCATTGATGCTGCATGCTGTATGCTGCCAGACACCCATTGCAGTCACCCAGAAACACAGCTTATTGATTGCTGATCAATAGTCACTTTGCTGCAGCTTCGTTCTATCTGTTTTAGTGTTAAAGAGTTATGAACATATTGATAAGTAACAAAGTGAGTCATTATTATGCTTTGGTTTCCCTGCTTTCTAACTAGGTTTCTATGTAACCTGTTAGCCATGAAATCTGCTTTTTTCCATCCCCTCTGTGGTGAAGTCTCTAAAGGGATTTTAAAAGCACTGTACCAGACCAAGCTGGGGCTAAAAAGGTGTTTCCACTGTAATTCTCCCGCCTGCCGATTTCCATCTCTTTTAGCAGCTGACGATGAGTGCACACATTTCAAATGGAGGCACCAAAATTGAATAATTTCTTCCAAGGAAGCCTCTTCTGAGATAACCATGGGCAGCCCACTCATAATTATAAATCTTCACACATTTCATGCCGTATATTTCTAGACAGGGACCGGCTGTTGACTTTGGCGTGTAAAAAAGCCCACACCTTATTAATTCATTTCTGGAATGTGCAAGTTTCAGCATGATTACGGACTTCCAGCCAAGGAGAGATGAGAGATATTTTTGGATTGCAAACAATCTCTCTTATAGTCGACATAAATTAAACTGGAATCCAGATTCCCGGACCAAAGATAGAGATGAAGGCAGACTGTTTTCTTCTGATCAGGCTGTGTTGATAATAAATCAGCAATAATTAGACTCACCTTTTGAAAACAAACGATGTGAAAGAGAAAACAATATGTCTTATTTGAAAGGTAAGCCAATTTAGAAACGTAACAGATCATTGCACAGTGTTGTCGTGTTGGTTAAGGACATATGTCTCTGCAGATTCTCTGCACTAAACATCAATAATGATATGACAGTCAGTCACAGTCTAAATAGGATTTTTTTCATCCAAACACCTGCTGTCTCTGGCCTTATATTCACTAAAAAGTGAGACATGAGAGTGATCTCAAACCATTCATTTAATTGATATATAACCTTATAAACTATCATTGTCTTTTTGTGGGGAAAAAAATTGTTTTTTTTTCCATTTTTGTGTTTGACATGTATCACATTTCTTAACAAGCCAGCTCAAGACAGAATGAAAAAAAAAAAAAAATCTGGTGACAATTTTTGCTTTCGAACAAGTCAGCACAATTATACTAATGCCTGGCTGTGATTCTAATGGTTACATTAGCACACTGTTATTAGGTCAATATTTGATGAGACATTTACTTTGCCCCTCTGACTCTTATTTTCAAAGTCAGCGCTTATCACAGAAACAGAAACCTGCTGGCGCAACACAACACTCATCTGTTTACAGTGTCTTTGTCGGTCATTAAATTGCACCTGAGCAACTTTGAAGTTCCTCTGGAGAACCTCTTCACTTAAGTTTTGCATAATCTGACTTTGGACAATGTACTCAGTGCCCGTGAATTATTCCTGAGTGTGTGTATAATTATATTAACCTTTCTGTTACACAGTTGTTGTCAAGTCCCTGCAGTGTCATTGGCATAAAGGAGAGCAAAGAGGTAGAGGTGTTTGACAAATAGAGAGCTGCTCCAGACTACTGAATGAGAACACCTTCATCTCAGGAATATTCATTTACTGCCTTGTAATCCATCAAAGCTCCTTTTTAACAGAAGTGGTCTGTTGGGTATTTTAGCTGCCTCTCCTCCTGTCTCTAGCAGTAGATTTTTAATGCCCATATCTTTAGTCTTCATGTCATTCCACACAGATGTGTGATATTTGTAGAGCAAAATCCCCAAACCTGTCAAGCCTTTTCTCATCTGGTATATCTGTTTTGTTTTTTTTTCATACTCACAAATCTGTTTTTGTTTATTTTGATTCTTCTTTAAATATGGTACAAACTCATGCAGCAACAGATGCTTCAGACCTGTAAGTACATGTAGAATTAACAGTAAACCATATGGGAGACTGTTGCTGTCCGCCTCATTGTCATCATCATTTCTCATACATGTGGATTAAACACTGCCAGGCCTCTGCTCACCCGCTGTGTGCATTGGAGAACGCAGCTATTTGTTTGTTTTCTCAGTAGCTTTAGTTGTATGTTGTAGCTGATACTGGATGTTGAACTCCAACCTTTGTCTTTGTTAGTCATCACATGATAAGGTTTGTCGCTGAGGACTGATAATGGAAATAAAAAAAAGAGATAACACATCCAAATCCCCAGCTGTTTAAAACTCCTAATCAAAACTGAAACCATGAATTAAACAGCAACCCTTTCACCGTATACCTTAACCTTTCCTCTCTCCCATCCATCTCTCCTATCCATCATCCCATCCTCCATTTCATTCACTCGCATTTCAAACAAGAGGCATCTTTGATTAGCGAGACAAAGAGGATGCCTTAAATAAAAAGACCATTTACAAGTCAGACTCGGAAGCGAGGCAGTGACTGGGCCATGCTTTCTAATTTGTGATGAGAGGATGGCGCTGGCCCACAGCTTGATGACGTTGCAGCTCTATTGTTAGTGAAATGAACACCTGGCTGCCAGAGAAGTGCTAAATCACTGCTGTGTGTTTAGCCACACCTGAGGCCCTCCACACAAAGTGACACAAAGCAGAACATTACATTGCAGCCTGGCTGATTTCAAAGGTAACTGTGGCTGAGATGCAGGTTTTTCATCTAATCAATCAACAACTGGTCGGTCGATTAGATGAAAATTTATTGTGTGTTGCTGTATTAATTGCAACATTTGTTTCCTGGGAAAAAAGGCGCTGACAATAAAACATCACCAAACCTAAAACAACAAAAGTGGTGGAGAGGGAAATTAGCCCTGTGGATTTCTGGAGATTGTAATTATGCTGTGTACTTAAAAGTTGATATAATGATTAAAAAAAACAAAAAAAAGGCTTTAAAACACTGCCAGTGCTCTGATGAGACTGCTGCTTTATTACTTTTGTGCAGCAGCCGAAGCAGCGGTTGGCTGATCTTCATGACATTAGTAGTTAGACAGAGCCCCACCATGTCTGATAAAAGTAATTTTACCCCTGTGATTATAAATGCACACACACTCTTCCTCCAAGTATGATCACATGCATGCCTCCATCAAGGCCAATCATTAGAAATAATAAGTCGTGTCTCACAACCACAGACTTATATCACTACTGCTGTGGATCAAAACCCAATTAATTAAACTCTCCGATATCCTCTCA